GATAAATCTGAGTAATCACTTTTCTTAGCAACAATTATTTTTCTGTACGCGAGGCATAAATGTGTTAAACTTTGCTATCCGAAATATTCAAACGTCACTTGTAAATTGAACTTGTGTCTACTTACTAGCAGCATACTGACTCTCGCCACGTTTCAATAGTAACTCAATGTCAAATAAGTAAGAACTAAACACCTTTCTAGTGTCTACTAAAATGAAACTACACACATATTGGCTGGCAAAAGTGCTGTTTTCTGTTTTATACCCCCAGCATCCCACTCCCTCGCTTTACGAAAAGGTAAAAGCGATCTCGGTGCGCACATACTGATGTGACATTGGTCGGGATCCGACCATACAGAGCAGAGAGAAACGAGTCAACCTGATTTAGCTCTTCGCTTTTACAGGGAAAGCAACGGGTCACTTCTCTGTGCAACTGCACGATGAACTGTGAGGTGCAGTATTATGACCCACCTACATATCTAATGCACGAAGGCTGCATGAAATAAATCTAGGAAGGACTGTCTTTCCGCCTTTGTCCTATTGCAATAATCAGCCGTACTATAATACTCTTTACAATCACTCTGATTGCACGACATAGTAATGAGTAAGTCAATCTTATAACAGTCTATAAAAATATCTCCTCAGTTAAAACATTTACGGTACAGTAATGAAATGTGTAATTTACGTATGATTTATACTATTATCAATCTACTATGCATTTGCAAATTAGTCATTAACGAAATTAACTTCTCAACAAGTACCTACTATATTACTTCCTCAATGTATAGAAAATATTAGATGCTGTAATCAATCGTAAACTATAAAAAAGTATAAGAAAGCATAATCAAAATTATTCCCATACATATACACATTTTCAAATAATTTTTTAAATGTTATATCACAGGTATAATTCCATTTCATTTGATACCAAATAAAGTCAATTAAATTTAGCTGAGAAATAATATATATATAAGAGATATATATAAAACTGTTATTAATTACTATATCAGAAATGATTTCAATTTCAATTATATAGCAATGCATATTTATAATTGCTTAGTTGAATATAAAAATTTCATCTATATATATGATTAAAAATTATTCACATATATTTGTATTCTAATTAATCGTAAGCTCATGTTATCGATTTGATTTAATCTGGATATGTAGATATATGCTTTTACGGAAATTTTTAAGTGAACTAATTGAAATTCCGACCGAAGGATATTTTAAACATATTTTAAATACGTACGTATTTAAGTGTGTCTTGCTTGAATAGTAAATGTTGCTATGTGAAAAAGAAAGTTTTTTGCCATTCCCTTAAATATAGCAAATCTAATGTGAGAACTTTATTTCTCACGGTTTGAAACTTTTACTGTAGAAAGCGTACATTTCCACTCACAAACATTTAATTTTCTTTTTATTATTTATAGCAAATAACATATCAATCTTTTATATTTAATTTTGTATTTGTGTTTATCGCGGATATTGTAAATCATTATCCTATAAAGGGATAGAGTTTATGATCTTGAATAAATAAAATAAAATAAAATTCAATAACGACGTTTAGCAGAAAAAGTTACTTTGCAACTGTTATTCTTTAATATGATTGGTTTAGATCTAGTAAAAAACTAAGGGCAATTACATTAAAGAATATTATAACAGTTGCATTTTCTGTTGAACTGAGATAATGTCAATATTATCCCTGGTAAAGTACAATTGATAAATGGCAAACTAAAAGAGTTTAGAAATAAATCTCGCTTGAAACAATTCGCGTGCGTATGAATGTACCAGATGTATTTGCAGCGTTTCAAATTTGTGCAGCCGGCTTGAAAGTTCGTAAACGAAGCAGAAAAAATTACAATTCTTTGCCACTTATTCACGGAAGTCAGAATAGTACGTATACGTCTAAGTACACCTGTACAACGTTTACAGTTTTGCTCGTTGTCCTTTTTAATGCTTTCTACTTTCCGCGCACGCACGTGCGTTCGCATGTATTCATTCAAGCACACTGATCCTAAGTTAATCAGATGTATTTCAATAGGTACTTGAACGGCAATAACCCCGGCAGTTGAATGTAAATGTCAATGTCTCTATTGTTTTGCATGCGTACTATACGCAACGTTAGTACGCGAATAACGTTTGATATAAAATGTGTATTTTTTTAAAAAGATTCTATGTGTAAATGTGCATCACGTCCAATATATATGTGTATTGTTATTAATTCGTTTGTAACATAAAAGGAAAGAAAATATGTACATGATATTAACATTAATATATAGAACGAAATTGGATTTTTTTTCTAATTTCATTTAAATTTATTATTTAAGTGTGGTGGTGGGTGGGTATATGCAATTAAAATAACTTTAGACGATTTATAATTTGACCCAGAATTCCAGATGAAATTCTATATCTTATAAACATACATAAATATTCATAAATATGTATAATCATATATGAAATATGTCCTTTACTGAAATACATCCTTTTTTCTTTTGTAAAATTATTTTTTAGTGTAATAGAAATATTCATAGTAATGTGAAAACATTAAAAATAATTAAAAGAGCAATTTTCACACTGTTTATTTTAGAAAAAATCAAGTTTAAAGAAATGTAAAAAAAATTACTTATGTATAATTATATATAAAATTATCCATAATTGTGTATGAGCAATTTTTTAATATTTTTTCAAACTTAATTTTTTTCTAAAACAAACAATGCAAAAATTATCCCTTTAATTATTTTTTATGTTTTAATTATCCCTTTAATTATTATTTATTATTATTTCCATTACACTAAAAAGTAATTTTACAAAAGAAAGAAAGATGTACGAATATATTTCATATATAATTATACATATTTATGAATATTTGTATATATTTATATATATTTATACAGATTCATGCATAAAAAATTATTTACTGGGATATTTATAATTTTATATGTTATTTAATATAAAAAATGCAAAAAGTTGAAGAATCAAAATACACAAAAAATATACATGCATTAAATGTACACTGAGATGCATACGTGCAAGAAAATACGTGACGTATCAATTTATAAATAATTTATAAAGATTATCCTCAAAAATTTAATGCAAAGATATAGATCTAAAGTGAGCAATTACATACATTTGATAAGAGTTAAAAGCAGTTGTTTTAATTGATTTAATTATAATTACGCGTATTTTTATATACTTATATACGTATTGTTATATATATTGAAATTGCGTTTCCCATAATTAAGAATTGAATAATTTATAACCTTTTAGTAACATCGATCATCGTGTAAGTATCCGTGTACGTCATAGTGTACAGAAAGTAAAATCTGAATGGAAAGTCGAACGCAATTAATTCCGAGCATGAAACTCTCTTTAAAACCAATGCAAGTAAAATCTTGACCTTCGAGAAAAAGTAGCTGATGCGATCGTATCTTCAGGCCAATTATGTATGTCATGCAACATCCTGAACACAGACTTCGATAGAAGTCTGTAATTCCGAATTTAACTTGGCGCGCGATATATCGCAAACCCAAAGACATTTTATTTCAAGCAGAATATTGCATCAATTCCATCGATAATCTAATATCATATAAGCTGATATCTCTAATATCACAATAATTAATAATTAATATATTACCGAGTCCTTGTGATGATATATGTGACAAGAGTAATCAGTATTTTGCAGCAAAGAGCGAAAACTACTGATGCTAATCGCTGGGAACATCGAGATGAAAGTATCGATACGTCGACAAAATCGCGACGTTGTTGGCATTCCAACTTCCAACACAACATTCCCGCAATCCAAAACGTAACGGCAACGATAATCAGGTTGTGGGATGTCCATCGTATGAAAAATGTGAGTATTGTGAGTACAAAATTACAGAACTCGCGATTCACGACGCGATCACCGCATAATCTTTTCGATTGGATAGGATCGCTCTCTCGTTCATTCTTCTACTTCGCATCACCTCACAAGTGTTCTCCGCTGATGTTATTTACGATATAGCCAGAGCCTGTCATGTCTATCAGTAAGTTGCAGATATGTAGATTTTGCCAGATTTTGCACTCGAGACAGCGAGTGACTGGGCCAACTGACATCTCGACGATCGTGCACGTGCTCGGTTGCATCATCTGCATAATTTCGGACACAGTGTATGTCGCGCCGACTTGACCTACACACACGTATACACACACATTCCTAAAATGTAGAAGTTCACAATCGCATGAATATGCTATTGCGTCTTTACACAATTTATACTAGTTTATACTCATTTATTCATATGACGATTATTTTTACGGAACTAAGAAGAACTAAGCGTCTTTTGAAGGGAATAGATGAGAGAGCAATCATAAAAAGTTACACTACATTTATGACACAGTATAGTAATCATCGATAGCAAACAATATGTTCGTACATGGAATTTTAATATAATTATTTGTTTTAAGTGAAACCAATTGAGATAATGAGAGATAACGATTCATCAGAGAGGTGGATGGCACAGCACCATGGGAATATAAACTGCAGTGTATGACTAGCATGAATCATTTTGATATTGGTTCTTGTGTATATTCGAAGAAACTTAACTTTTCAAAAAATGGGTCCAAGTGAGTTCCATTATAAATTATGTCTCATAATTATTTAAGATTTCAACAAAAGAATAATAGTTCCTTGATCAATCATACTGATTGACAATTCTTCCCTAGTCAGAATTACAACTGCGGACAGTCTCGACTATCGTTACGTACCCATCACAAAAAACAGCGTTAGTTTAGGCATTAAAGCTAGCCATGATGCAAGGATTGCCTTACGGACACATCTTGGTGGTGACTCCAATGTGTATGAGGTAATGCTACCTTGTAATGATATGCAAGGTTTATGTGCTTTACATACTTTAATCATTTTTTAAAGAATAAAAATGTTCTATAATATTATCTATAATATTATCTATATATAATAATAAATGTTTCATAATATTATCTTAGATTATTATCGGAGGATGGGGAAATACTATGTCGGCGATAAAAAGAAATAATACAGAACCAGATGTGGCAGAAGCAGTCACTAGGGACATACTGAATCCTGACGAGATATGTGATATTTTCATACAGTAAGGAAATTATATATTTTATTTTAAGATCAATTTAGATACACAAAACTGTACATGTATATATCTATCTTTGCTTCTATTTTATAGGTGGTCTTGCGATGGACTATTAAGTGTTAGCCGTGAGGATGATTTTGACATGCCGTTCATGTCTTATAAAGACAGAAGCCCATTTGTCATAAATTACATAGGAGTTAGTACCGCTTGGGGTGCAACTGGAGAATGGATAATTGAAGGTACGTTAATTCATGATAGAATCATAGATAGAATTCATGATAGAATCATAGATAGAATTCATGATAGAATCATAGATAGAATTCATGATAGAATCATAGATAGAATTCATGATAGAATCATAGATAGAATTCATGATAGAATCATAGATAGAATTCATGATAGAATCATAGATAGAATTCATGATAGAATCATAGATAGAATTCATGATAGAATCATAGATAGAATTCATGATAGAATCATAGATAGAATTCATGATAGAATCATAGATAGAATTCATGATAGAATCATAGATAGAATTCATGATAGAATCATAGATAGAATTCATGATAGAATCATAGATAGAATTCATGATAGAATCATAGATAGAATTCATGATAGAATCATAGATAGAATTCATGATAGAATCATAGATAGAATTCATGATAGAATCATAGATAGAATTCATGATAGAATCATAGATAGAATTCATGATAGAATCATAGATAGAATTCATGATAGAATCATAGATAGAATTCATGATAGAATCATAGATAGAATTCATGATAGAATCATAGATAGAATTCATGATAGAATCACTGTAAAATTTGTTTGTCTTTTAAGATTGAAAATTCCTGAACTATAATATAATAAAATTGTAATGTGCATTAATGTCCTATATGGATTAATCCAAATATATGAAAAAAAAAATGTGAAAGAAACGCAATAATTTTTTAACTCGTTCTACCAGAATGCCAGTTTACATCCCCTGCTATCAGACAGCAACTGATGGACACGTGCCACTTCTGGGTGGATTTCAGTGAGGCATTTGGACTACCTCGGAACGCAGTAATGGCTTCTGAGGATGGTTTGTACATCGGTAGAGCACATCATCAAGGCACGGTGACTCCAGGTGGAATTCGCGACAATGTTTGCACAATTGCATGGGGCGGAACTGGCCATGAGAAACGAGAATTCCAGGTGTTGTGTGGCAAGGACGTGAATTGGGTAAAATCCTGGCAGGGTAGCGTGCCTCTACATGCCCTACCTGCCGGTGAAACCGAGGATGGTTACGCTTTATTCGTCGGCAGAGTATTGCACGAAGGAATCTACCACATCGGCAAGGTACAACCGAATCATCAAGTGTGTTATATACCGTTGAACGGCCAAGAAATGCCCTATATGGAGTACGAGACTTTGGTCATTCATGACAACTACGGAGTCGAGTGTATCGGAAGGTAAAGTGACGAACGGCTTAGAAACAGAGTGTATTTATTTTTTCACGAGATGAAATTTTCCACATGCTATATATGGTTAAATGTGATTGATCATCTCTATAAAATTTCAATTGGAGTTATTTATATATATTTATATTTTAAAAATACATCAGTTATTTACAATAATTCAACATTATAATTTATAGCATCTTATAAATATAATAAAATATTATGAATATATGATTGGAAACGAGACCGTTTATATTAAAACTTGAAATATGAAGCGCCTTACTTATAAGTTTATTACAGTTTTTTAAGATTTGGGAAATTTTGGGAGGATTCTTTGTTTCAGATTGATTGTGTGAATCCGATAATTTCATCGGCTCGCAATTTATTTCTGAAAATTAATTCAATTTAAATGAATGTATATTATATAGTAGTTCAACATCTTAAAACTCGGACTGGTAAGGCGTTTCGTATTTCAAGTATTATGAATATGATAGTACTTAACCTTTTTTCTAAGGTTTGTAAGGTGGATTTTCAAAACATATCTAGAAAGATAGTTAAATTCGAATCCGGTCTTTTTTATTTAATCAATTTATGAAATGGATAAGAAAAGTAAATACTAATATATTCTTCTGTTTATTTATAGATAAAAAAAAATACAATAAAGTTACTGGATCTTAAATAATTGTAGTAAAATAAAAAGGCTTTAATTAACGAAGCTTTAAATAGTTTAAATAATGACACATCCAATCCCGACTTTACCATTAGAAGGTTAATATCACTAATGAGACAGATATCAATCTTTTATAGTAATTTCTTTCAAGTCAATTACTAAAAAAAATGTTTTAATACTTTTCTCAAAAATTTACTTTTCTCTATAAAATTAATGCAGTTTATATACAACTCCAATTGAAATAATAAAAGTGGATTAAATCAACTCTCAATCTAAAAGATAAATTAATAGTGAATCATGAAATTGATCAAAATTAAAAAAAATCATAAGCGTATTTATTTATCAATAAGTACGTTTTTATCAATTTCTTTTAATTCTTGGCAATTCGATTTTTAATATAATTTGTATGCGATTGTAAGATAGTTATATATTGACCTCAATATGAATTAATTGTAGTTTGTTACGATGAGCGCAATTCAAAGACATATTTTTTTATGAATACCATATGGAAAATTATTATCTCATATGGTATTGATTATTCCATTCCTATATATATAATACACAAACAGGCTAATATATTCAAACCGATATTATTTATACAGACACTAATTAGCAGATGTAAATGGTTATTGAACAATACTTACTTACAATTAGTTATTAAAAACAATCAGTTATTAAAAATTATTTAACTAAAGATGGAAAAAAAACCATAGGTAAAAGTTGTAGTTATCCTATCGTATTACCAGACTGTATATTATAATAAGTAGAGTCCGACTGAAACCACATTTTTCGACCTCTGGTCGAAACTAAAAACAAATATTCGGTTGTCATTTAATTTTGACCGAAAACGAAACTGAAACTTCAGATAAGTTTTACTAACGAGAGAGAGAGAGAGAGAGAGAGAGAGAGAGAGAGAGAGAGAGAAGCTAACGGAGTCACATTTTTTCGATCGAAATAAAAATCGACATTTTTGACGATTAATTTTACAGAGATTGTATAATTTTCAGAAATCATGACAAAAATTTATGTATCCTTTAAAAAACAAGATTTTATTAAAATGTCTAACTAAAATAATATAATAATATTGTATCCCTTGTTGTATCCTCAACTTTTAAAGAAATCAAATCACAGTTATTATTAAGATCACATTAAGTTTGTACTCAAATTGTCTTAAGCTTAATCAACGAGTTAATAATTAAAATTGAACAGTTGTTTTTTGAACGCTTAGCAGTGCGTTGCATTTGTAGTTTTGGTTTACCCACCGAAATTTTCTCTTAATTTCGGCCGAAACCGAAATTGACCGAAACCGAAATTTCGGTCGGACTCTAATAATAAGTAACATCATTGAATTATCGCACAATTTACTTTTTTAGATATATAAAAGTAAGAGGAAATATTTATCAGTTTAACATATTCTGAAAATATTTAAATCATATTGATTTATAGATTCTTTAACTGCATATAAGAAAGAGAAGCTGTATTATTATATTTATTTAATTTAATGACTACTCAGGGTTTTACAATTAATCCATAAATAATGGCCAATTTAAGACATAAAATAGAATTCTAATATTTTATTTGTAATATATATATTGTGATATGATAATAAACGAATTAACAACGGAACGACACGAACCAAAAGAAGCATTCATGTTGATCTAAAATAATTCAATTAGCAAGTGTTCTATATAGTATATTAGTATCAGTAATAAATATTTCTTTTTACTCTAAGCATTTTTTCTTTTTTAATATACACAAACATTTAGATGTTATATAAGATGTACACGTTATTATGAGCAAGGCTGCACAAATCTATCTAGAATGATTTTTATTAATTGACAGTACTATTTTAATAAGAGCACAATTCTACTTTCTTATCTCTGTTATAAAAATATATGTAGCTTGTAATATAACAAATGTAATTAAAACGTAATTAAAATGCGATGTAAATTTCTATGAAGCATGTATCGCGATGATTGTACTATAATTATATAATTGATAGTGTAGGGAACACGCGAGTGTAATAAATTTAAAGAAATTTGGGGTGTAAGTAGTTTCTATCAGCCGCGGTTTACTTGCACACTATTGCAATTGTCCATTGCCAATCACAGCGACTTTTATCTAGGGAGTTTTTTTTAGCGCTGTGATTAGCTGGTGTCCAATTGAACATGTACAACTAATATACATTCGTTCTGTCTATTAGCGAATTCGGCAGACTGTACTAGTACGTACTAAGTGCGAACGGTGCAAACTTTTTCAACGCCACGCATTCGGCTTGTACACACTGTATTAGTGCGTTCAGATTGTATTCGATAAATGATAACTGACTCAGTATAGTGTTGAATTTATATTTGGACCAACCGAATGAACAAATTCGAGAAATGTTGCTCTGACGTTTCTAACAGTGCAGTTTGGCATAACACCAAAGTGGTTCTCGCACCATGTCAGGGAAACATTGAAGAGTCAGTGCATATGTGCCGAATTCGCTATTTTATAATTGAAAAATTATAGGAGACAGACGCACGAATATATAGCTGATAGCTTTAAACTTCCTTCAAACGCTTAAAAGATGAGAGAAATGGATAAAAAGTAAAAGTCTTTCCATCGCGGTTGTTATATATTAGAATGTTTTACGTAACATAACATTGTTGTACATCTTAAAAATGGTAGAAGTAGGCCAAGATGTTGAAGTCAAAAACATTTTAAAGACAAAAATGTTTTTAGAAAAAACGATGGAAGTTAATTTCTCTCTAGATGGAAGTATCTTTTTAAGATACCAGATTCTGTATAATTTGTATGTATATACTATCGCCGGTTCGCGTAAAGGAGGCACGTCCGTGTCTCGCGCCATGCTTAGCGCCGAGACACTACCAGTGTCTCCAGATAATATATGTATATTACACATACGCAATAACGCTTTTTAAGCTTTCACAGCTGTTATCTTTAAAGATACCAGAAGGTTTGGACTATCGCCGTGTTTTTGTCTATTATTAATGTTTTGTGAATCTTTCCGTTCACTTTATCGAGAAGCGCACTGATACTGAACTGCTCCTTCGGGAAACTCTCTTTATATAGATAGGCAGTAATGGACAAAAACACAGCGTTAATCCGCAAACCTGGTATTTTTACGCAATAATGTTATAGTATTTTGTTACTATGTTATAGTATTTTGTTGCACAATGTAAGTATTATGTTCTCTCAATATATTGCAATACAGCACACACAATTATACTAGTATATTATATAATTAAACCCAACATATCTCAATTATTTCTATATGCGAGATATATATAAATGCTGCTGCATATTTATCATCATGATCATAAATCATTATGTAGATCAGCGGAATATCTAATTAGACGAATTTTTTTACATTTTTATATTTAATGCAAAACTAAAATTGTGCTACAAATAATAATTAGTAAAACAAACAAAATAAGTAAATAAATGGACAGTAAAAGAAAATCAAAATGCTTTCACAAAAATTACTCTTATCCAGTTAAATAGAATATTCTAATTTATACATATGTATATAAAAACTAGTAATATACAGGGTGTTCCAGAATGTCCGCCAAATGTTTCATGTGCTGGTAGAGTGGACTAAACTGAATCGAATCATATTTTGAAATTTTCGCAATAGTTAAGATATTAATTACTAAAAATCGCCGAATATTGGTTTTTAATCAATAATTTTTTTTTCAAGTATTATCAACTTTACCGAAAAACAGTAAGTGACAAAAATTGTTAATTTTCATCTCATAGAGTTCTAAGAATTTTTTCAGAATTTTTTAGTATTGCATTTTCTCATGTTGATGAAAATAGTTGCCAATAAGAAAATACAATACTAAAAAATCAAGTTAATAGCACTTGAATAAATTATATATTGAAGTCAAATATTCAGTAATTTTTAATAATTAATATCTTGTTAACTATAACAAAAATTGCAAAGTGATAGGACTCGAATTTAATCCGCTCTACTAGCATTCGAAATATTTGGTGGTTATTCTGGGATACTTTGGGATACCTCTGGGATACTTAATAATTATACATGTTATAATACAATATACAATGTATATTATTATATTATGTCTGACTTCTCATGCAACGTTTTTTTTCAATCATAAATATAATGTCACAAAATATGAATTATATATCCAAATTGATCGGAATAATCATAAGATAATTGCAAATCTACTAATAAAACTTACGTATGACTGCAAATGCTTTGCCTATAATACCTATGTTTTCCGTAAGTATTTCGTGTACCAAACATTTTCGAATATATTTGTATTAGGTAAAGCATGTCAAGCTTCGCCGTCCGGAGCGACTAAGTTTCACAGGATTGGATGATATATGTATATAAGAATATATGTATATTATACATATACTTGCAGCGATTTTCGAAGGAATAAAATTCGAGCATAATGTTACTGTTGAAACACTTACCGATGAACAATTCCGATGCTTCTTCCCGTTCCCTGAATTTTCGCGACTACTCTTCTCTCAGTCACTCTTGTCGCCCTCATTTCGCCCTTTCTTTATCCTCGATCGTTTGTCGTTGTTATTATGGGCAAAATGTTTCCGTAAGCACCATCACATATATATCCCACAAAACGAACACTCACAATCCATCACTTATTTATTCATATGCAAAACCGACGATCGGCGTCGGTTACCATAAATAATGGTATTTTCATCTGTGTATATATGTACGTTTTGGCTAAATTCTAACCTTCTTCAGCATGACAATGTTGACAATTAATCAAAGTACTCACGATGAAAATATATTCAAGTAGACTGAGGTTTGGTAGTAATTTAAGCGCACCTATTACAACGCGGTATTCCTACTTGTCCTGATTTAATTATCATTATTTATATTATTTTATTATAAGGAATCTTACTACGGCTTTTTTATATTTCTAATTATAATAATTAGAAAAAGATAAGTAGTAAGTTAAACCGAGATTAAAGTAAATCTTACATTTATGGAATCGGGCTAAGGTCTTTTTCTTAAAATCAGAAAGAGTAAGTTGAATAAAGATTAAAGTTACATTAAAGGAAAACGGATAAAAAGGTACTTCTTCTCACTGTTCACTATACTCACGTAACCGCAGCGTTAGGAATTGAGGAATTGACATAAATCTCACCGGGCTTTGAATCCCGCATGGAGTACCGTCCATCCCATTTCGCGGCAGGCACGTTTTTATCTTGTGTCACTTCGTAACGAGCGAATGTCGGAAAAACAATATGATTCCTTAGCATGAAGTAGATCGTAGCCGGTGATTATGTTGACATCCCACAGGCGGCTTCTCTAGGAAATATCACGAAAGAAAAATTTTCGTGCTCGTACAATCTTGTTGTTTTTCAGGGTCGCATATATACGATCCATTGATTAACAAAACATGGAGGATTGTGCTAATTTACTCTTAATTATCGTTAAACACGCAAAATACTTAAAATTTCGTTCATCAAATAAATGTAAAAAATATGGGAATTTTGTTTTATCTCTGATCTGCTTGCAATCGATCCGATTTCAAGGGAATATGAAGAATCAGAGGTATAAATAAATGACTAAATTTTAAGAAGTTATTATTTAGTTATTATGACATTAGAGTTAAAACTTAACTTTTTTGACCCAATCGAATTTGCACCTGAGTTGGATTAATGCTCTACATATTAATTGACGTTACATCTATCACTGTCAATAGGAGAGCATGAAACATCATTAATCCAACCCAGGTTGGTGCAAATTTCCGGTCGGGCCGAAAACGTTAATAAAATCGCTTTGTTCGCTTTGTAGATTCGGCCCTGACCATTTTAATGCGAATATGACGTGTCCTTTGTTTCTGACATTTCTCAATGTTTTTCCATCGAGTAGTCATCGGAAGCGAGACTTACTTTACAAAACTGACATGTGAAATCAAGCACGAACAAATGTGCTTCGCTCATTATCGATGATGGACGCATATTAGAGATGCCGCAGATTTACAATCCTTTTCGCCAGGTAGGGGCATGTTCCTTCCTCACGTATAAGATACGCTAAACGAGAAGCTGTCGGTTAAATCGTAGACCGTCGAATAAGTACAAAGCTTGAATCTTGGACCGTCACAAGTAAGTGCAAATCTTGGAAGAAAAATCTGAAAACATTTCTACAGTTTCTTGCGATAAAATACAAAATCGGTCTTGTATAATAAAAAAAGTTTTAATCCGTTATTACTGCAATCCGTAATTACTGCAATTTTCAATGCTATCACCGTTTCATTTCTGAACAAAAAAGCATTGAATATAAATTATATTTAATTAACCTCATTTGTTTATAAAATATTCCTAATATGAAAAACGTATTTTTGCTCGTTATTATTATTATGATTATTATTATTATGTTTTAAATAATTAATATTCTTTTTTTACACAAAAATAAGCAAAGAAGATTATATTCGATCAAAGCAGGTGTTAATGTCTAATAATATTTTTGCATGAATCTTATTTAATTTAGATAAGTAATCTTATCTAATTTCCAGTTCATGCAGAAATATTGAAATTATTTTTAATTAAGCAACACACACATATCAGCTTTGACTGACTTTTTTTCACTTGTTGATTAATTTTCACTTATTATTGTTCATTTTTTTAAGCCAAAATTAAGAGCGAGGCCAGATAAAATAATTGACAATCACATAAGCGACGTATTTTCATCGCTTTCACAAACACTTCGACATGCGTGGAAACTCGTTGTGCCTTCTATTATTATTCGTCATTCTAACAAAAGCCTACTTGAGATCATGCAAATATTGGTGCAAAATGGGCAATCATCGATATTACTGCTGCCCAAATGGGAAAGGTGAATCGGAGTCCGAGTCGGAACATTCACACAGTTGGCATTCGTTTTTTTTCCCCTGGCTTTGGCTTGGCATCGCCGCTGAGCCGCACATTGAACATCCTTGGCATGAGTTCATGACGAAGTGGAAGCCAAAAAAGCATTGTCCGCCCTTAAGAGCCCACTGTCCCAGGACTTACAAGTGGTACAAGCCGCCTAAACATTGCGACAGCGATCATGAATGCGACGAAGAGGAAAAGTGTTGTTATGATGTATGCCTGGAACACAAAACGTGCAAAGATGCGGAATAGACGCTCCATCATAATAAAAATATTTATTGTTTTTAATATATTATATTGTTTAATTATTTTTATTCGAAAAATATAATAGAGAGCTAGCCGAGACATACTGAGTACCTTGTGCAAATGTATTAGGTATATAATACATAAATGAATAAATAAATTTATTACAGGTGAATGAGATCAGTCACTCGGCAATTGCATGGTCTTGAATCGTGATAATTATACGTCATCCTGATATAAGAGTTAGATGCATTATTGGATATTTCACCTATTAAAGCGGAAAAAATTGCTAGCTAAATGATTACTGAAGGCAGAATGAATGGATGTACAGATCAAAATTAAATGATTTATTACGAAAATATATTAAATTTATAATTTTTATTGTTACCTTGCTTGCTTAGCATTACTTTTTAAATTGTTATCCATGCAAAATTGTGTGTAAATATTTTTATTTGTGTGTAAAAGAATTTCAAATTTCATTTTTTGTTTTAAATTACTTTTAAATAAATTTACTTTAAAAGTTTTTAAAATATATATTATTTTATGTTAAAATAATATAATATGTTTAATGACATTTAACTCTAATTCTTCTTTAGAGAAGTGACAAAACTAAACTATCGATAATTGGTTTATTAATATTCCCTTAATGGAGCGAATGCTTGAACCCGAATTCAATATGACTATTACTGGTACTTTAAGAAAAAACAAAAGAAAGATTCCAGCAGAAATGAAAGTAGCTGATAAAGAACCACCAAATACAAAGTTTTGCTTTTCTTCATAACATTTCTTCACATCCAATATAACATTGTTATCGCATACGCCAAAAAAAATAGTTCTGATTGCATCTACTTTCTCTAATTCTAAATATCGTTGATGGCAAGCCAGAAATAATTAGACATTATAATAAAACAAAAGATGGAACTGACTGTTTTGACAAGTTATACCACACATATACAGTAAGCAGAAAGACGAACAGATGGCTTCTACGAATCTTTTTCGGAATGCTTGATCAAGCAGAAGTTTACGCTAGGATTCTTTTATAATGTAAATATGATAAGGGAAGAAAAAACATTAAAGTGCTCATGATTGCTTGAACAGTTGAGTTTGCATCTAGTAACTTCAATCTTACAAGAACGCTATTTGATGCCTACTATACGTACTGATTTGAAGTTAGCTATCGCTGGTATTTTAAAAACAGACAGGGGGAATAAATTAACAATGAACGACCAAAATTTGAGAAAAGACATCGATGTGGCCTATGTAAAAGAAAAAAAGACAAAAAAACTGGAACAATGCCCAAGTTCCGATCGTCCCATGTGCGACGATCATCGTGCATATCTACGCAACGACTGTGCGGGCCAAGGTTAGTGTTATTTTTATGATCTTACAGTACTTTTTTCATCAGATTATTTTATTATCTTATAAAATGTATGTTGTTAATGAATAATATTATATACGATTGATTTAACACCAGAATAAACGTACTTTTATTGAACAATGTGCTTGATTTTTTTTTTTAATTTACTCCAATCAATCTTGAAAATAAATACCTTTTTCGAAACGCCCGCTATTGCAATAATTTTTTTATCGAAGTGCAGCATCTGAAGACTTTATTCCTAAAATTTTATGCAAAAATATTAAAAAATAAAAAGTTATAAGCTTTTTAATGAAAAAAGTCACATTTCACGTAGATTTTCATTCATGAATTTTTTTTACTATTTTAAAATTATTAATTCGGCAAAAAACCAATGCGAATACATATTTTAAGGTCCAAAGAATGTCCCTAATTTTTTTTTGACTCTATACCTATGAAAATAAAACTGAGCCATTTAAACGTGTTGGGGTTATGTCGATCCCGTGTGATTATTACGTAATTTTCACGAAATGTGATCATCGAGGGTTAATGATGTAATATTGCACGTCTAAAAATAATAATTTAAAAATTAAAGAACTAATTATTTATGAAAAGTTCTTATTAAATTTCGAATAAACATATATTTAAAACGCATAATATATAATTGTTAAATATAATAATAAATAATCAATATGAACAACAATAGGTTTTCCCCGTATTAGGAATATTTTATAGACAAATTCTTCCCATGATTAATTAATTATTATGTAATTTATACTTAATGCTTTTTTCAAAAATAAATATACGGTATTATTATCGATATCTACTTTGTTGATGTAGTACAGAACGAAACCAAAAGCATTTAGCACGTTATCCCTCAAAAATATCGTCAACTAAGTAGTACCTTTATACATTGTGGCGCTGATAAACGAAAGCCTGAAACGCGAATATGTCCGTATTCCGTGAACATCTCTCGGAGCCTTTCTCTATACAAGAAGTCAGCAGCAGCAGCAGTGGCAAGTGAAATTATCGCGAGAGAAGATGGTGGTGACGGTGGCTTACGTGCGTCAACAACTCAGTAATTTGGCGCATTCCGGCGGTTCCCACAAAGACCAGGCCGAGAAGTATGTGCGTCGAGTGTAATTAAGCTTCAATCCAATTGTATACTCACGGCGAACTGTTTTCTGTTTAGATACCGCGCAACCCTGGACTCGATATTATTGTCTTCCGGCGAGGAGCTAGTAGATGCTCTGAAGACTTTCATCGAAGCAAGTACGTTATTTTTATCCCACTGGCACTTCACACTCGCAGATACAAAAGAAACATCAAGCGGAATCTATAAAATATTCCGAAACATTGCGGGATTTGACACACCGCAGACAGGTTATAAGAGGATTATAAAGCTTCCAGAATGATCCTCAGCCAGTCAAATATTAGCAATTTGCCAACAAATTGTTGGCAAATTCGATCAAAAATTTCAGCAAATTGGCATCAACTATGTCTATATTAAACTTGTGCCTTGTCGATAAAATTTGCAGATGCAATGTGAGAGCACTTTGTTGACAAAGCTAAACATAGTCGATTCTTATTATCAATTTGCTATCAAATTGTAGCATGCTTTATATGGTTTTTGTCAACAATTTCTCAACAGTATGTTTTTATTCTTTGTTATTCATAAAATGTTAAAGGCTATGATACACAAAACTTAATACAATAACAAATATATACAAAAACTTAAGCAATAAACAAATCAATTTTAAACAGCTTACCTTATATTGTTTAAATTTTTGTATACATCATAATCTTTGGATAAAATGATGTTTGTCGATTTATGTCATTAAATAGAAAGCATTCTTTGTTGAATTCTTTGTTGAATACCACCAATTTGCTGATATTATTGAATATAAAATTTGTATAAATAATTTTTGGTTCCTTTTGTTAACAAAATTTGTAACAAACATTTAACAAAATTTATTTTCGACTGATTGGAGTTTAAAAAATCGACACATGAGAGAATATTATGATTGCAAAGTATATCTATAATAACAATTTAATATTGTTTTATCTTAAGGTAATATAATGTTAAAGTATTCATGTAATAATAATGTAATTATTTTTAATATACACAGGATACAATTAGAATAATCATCATAGTTTAACATCACAATGCATATAATTGATGTATTATATTTTGCATGTCAATACATATATTCCACATTCAGAATGATACAACTTGTAGATACATTTTACAACTTAGATAAATTTTTATTATAGTTGTGAACGAAAACGTGAGCTTGGTTATTTCAAGACAAGTGTTGACTGATGTCAGTAGTCGTTTATTGTTTTTGCCTGATGAGATATCAAAAGCTGTTTCACATTATACACTGGACAAGGTAAATAAATCTCTTTGCTTGATTGTGATAAAAATGAACGTAATTATATATTAAAGTATACTTCGATTAAAATAATATGCTGTTTACGTAGGTTCAACCACGTGTGATTTCCTTTGAAGAACAAGTAGCTAGCATAAGACAACATTTAGCTGATATTTATGAACGTAATCAGAACTGGCGGGAAGCTGCAAATGTTTTAGTTGGCATACCACTAGAAACGGGGCAAAAGTAATATATACATATGTCAAATCTTGTTGTTTGTGATATTAATGAAATTAATTTTATATAATCAATATCGTTTTAGGCAGTATACTGTTGATTACAAACTCGAGACTTATCTTAAAATTGCTAGATTATATTTGGAAGATGATGATCCAGTACAGGCTGAAGCGTTCATCAATCGAGCATCACTTTTACAGGTATAGTTTCTTTAAACTTACTTTCTTATGTTTCAGTTATTTAACTTTTTTATCGTTCCGTAGGCCGAATCTAAAAATGAACAGTTACAAATCTATTACAAAGTATGCTATGCAAGAGTATTAGATTATAGAAGAAAATTTATAGAAGCAGCTCAGAGGTACAATGAGTTATCATATAGGTCCATTATTCATGAAGATGAACGTATGACTGCTCTTAGAAATGCATTGATTTGCACAGTATTGGCTTCTGCAGGCAAGTAATTAATCAACATTGCACATGTTTTATTCTTTGGACTGTTGTTCACATTAATCTTTTTACAGGACAACAAAGAAGTCGGATGTTGGCCACATTGTTCAAAGATGAACGCTGCCAACAACTTCCCGCTTACTCAATTCTTGAGAAAATGTATTTGGATCGTATCATTCGGCGCTCTGAACTGCAGGAATTTGAAGCATTATTGCAACCTCATCAGAAGGCATGTACTATCGACGGATTAGGATCCACTATACTCGACCGTGCTGTTATCGAGCATAATTTATTATCTGCTAGTAAATTATACAACAACATTTCCTTCGAAGAATTAGGTGCATTATTGGATATTCCACCTACTAAAGCGGAAAAAATTGCTAGCCAAATGATTACTGAAGGCAGAATGAATGGATATATAGATCAAATTGATTCCATAGTACATTTTGAAAGTAAGTTACTTTAAATTCTTGAACTTTAATATATGTATTGCTCTTTATATAGTATTAGAATTTAATGTCTTTTCCCACAGCACGTGAGACCTTACCGACATGGGACAAACAAATACAATCGCTATGTTATCAAGTGAATCAAATAATCGAGAAAATAGCTCAAACAGAGCCAGAATGGATCGCTAAAGCAATGGACGATCAGATGGTACATTAATATAGATTTTGTTTAACACAGAAATGTCAAATGAGGAATACGGGAATCATTTACAATATGTACACGATACACAGCCAGCCAAAATAGTAAATATTTATATAGCTCATTGTTGAAACACTAATATCGTCTGAGGCACATCATTCATTAAATTTGATTTTTAAATAAAATCTTTCGTCCCAAAAGTATATCTATATTGTTTTTAGAATTGTGTATTTGAAATATGTTAAATGTATATTACATCTTTAATGCTGCAAAAATTTTACCAATTTTTTGTAACTAAAAATGTAACTAAAAAACTAAAAAATTGATATAATTTCATCACACACATAATACAAATTTACTCAAAGGAAATGTTAAAAGGTTGTTTATTTGCAGTCGATTTAGATAAAATCATTGTAGATGAAAAAAAAACAATGTAAGTTCTTCTTGTAAATAAATCACATTCGTACTTCGTAAAACATTCTTTACTCAACCCATACATAATTGGTAATAATTATCAAAGAGAATAAAAGCCTTTTATCTCACAAACAATTATTATTTTCTATATAAAATAAAGCAGTGGAATTATATATGCAATACATATATGCACTTGTGTCTTTTGAAAATATGATCATTATCATTTAATATTTATATGTGACTATAAATGAAAGTTTTGTAAAGGAGTACACTTTGGTTAATCTAAGGATATCATAATTTAGCCAAACTGGCAGTATTTCTTAACAAGGATTAGATGTTCCTTACAACAAGAGAATGGCATGAACATTTTCTAATTATAATCTATACAAGTAATGCATAATTGCATTATTTATATGAATTAGAGAAGGCATCACATTTTTATATTAGTACATGATAATATCAAACAAAAAATTGCATACATTCATAATCAATCACATTGTTACTAATATTTGATTGCATAAAATATGTACGTCATACGTTCTAATCTGGTCCTATCCAGCAAGAGATAAGATTAGTGATTTACAAAGTTAGATATCTGATTAAAATAATAAACATTTCATAAAAATATTTTATATTGTTTAAAAATTATATTTTTCACATATAAATGTGATAAATATAAAGGATAATATAAAAATATTCTTAATATATTTACTGTGTGCAAAGCAAGCAAAGAAAATTGTTCATGTCATAAATATCTTTTTTTTTATCTATTATATTTTTATGTGGTTTTTACTATTGCCTTTTTTTTCGCTCCGCTTTACATTATATAGAATAATGTATGTACTTCAACGTAACTTTCGATTTTGATAAAAAGGATTTTAACAGGACTAACAAAAAAATTGCATGTAGAACTCCAGTACGACTAACAGTACAAACTTGTATGCGTAATTGCGATTTCATATTGTTTATAAGAAATTGCTGATTCATGGTCATAATTGTGTATAATATAAACTAACGTGTTTGTCAACTAATCTCAAATGATGATATTTTGTGGAATCTATTCAAGGATCAACCTATCTACATATTATTGATAATACTTTATTTGAAGCATGTACTGTCACGCTGGTTTTTTTATGACACGAAGGTCATAAAATATTTATGGGATAAATTTTTGCTTTTTTTTTTAAGTAATAAGCATTACTTTATAAGATACATATTTAAGCCTGAAGATCTAATGCGACGCCATATTTGTGGCCACCAGAACCGAAGTTCTTTCCATCAATGTTTGTAGAAAGTGTCAAAGTTACACCTGTAAATATTCAATTATTTAGCGACATTTATTAATATATCAATACTAATGTATATGCTTTTTTGTGGAAAGATTTATTAACTTAATAGACTTAATAATTGTCAAGAATCCTTATTTAACTTCATAACTGTATATTGCAAAAATTATTATTATAGCAATTGTGAAGTTGTCACTCTGCCAAAAGTTTATTCTCCATTTAGTGTGACTCTCAGAGTACAAGTTATTAATAGATAGATATTTTGCTAATATCTTGAACAAAAAAACATACTTTTTCTCATTATGTATTGTGTATCATACTTATGTATTGTGACATGTTAAAAATTTTCAATTTATAAATAAAATTATTTATAACGGATTCACGTTGCATTTTGCACTTATGAAGATTTTGCGATGTCTTTTTCTAATAATCTTTTTAACAAAAATATTTTTTAAATAATTACCATTCCGCAATTTCTGTTGATATCCCAAACCTATTTGAAGATTAGAATTCACTTTGGCTCTAAGGTTAGCATCATTATCAAGATTATACTTGGCGCCAATACCAAATTGTGTTACATTATTAGTGGAATTGTATGCCAAATTGATTGCTCCTTCCAAATCCGGTTTTATTTTATGATAAATCGAGCTATTAAACTCACGACCATTATCACTAAAATATATTAAATATCATGTTTAAATGTTAATAAAATCGATAAATGTCTTACAGTATCACATTTTTGTGATTATATACTTACACGGCGCTATGAAGGGTAAAATCAGAAGCAGTAAATCCAAGAGCAAAATTATTTCTTGTGAGTTTGTTTCTCTGTGAGTCAAAGGATGCCTGATAACCACCCAACCATCCTGCAAAATGCAACAATATATCAATTTAAACACTTTTAGATAACACAATTAACATTCATCAAATGACAGGCTTACTTCTTTATTCATAAAGCATTCCATTTATTCAAAACAAGGAAATATGTGTTTGGGACAAAGGAACAGGCACATAGAAGATTAAAGATCTAAAAGTTTCTTTTTTCAAGAATTTTATGTCGAAGAATAAAATTGATTAATATTATCAAACTTTAACGTTATTAAGGGATCTGATATTAAAATTTACCTTGATAACCCACGACAGCTGAGGCATAAATTAAAGGTCCAGCAGACAAACTAAGATCAAAGTCAGCAGTCGCAGATACATTTTCATGTTTGTAAGTAGTCTTCAGTTTTCCGGTTTTGGAACTGCAAATATCAGAAGAAAAATGAAAGATCCAAATATTACAAATCATAATACCATTTGAATTTTTGATACTTTCAAAGATATCTTACCCAGTTTGTGGGGAGAAAGTACAGCTGTAGCCAACTGTGAGACCATTGAGTAACTTATTGGCAAGGGTGACTTCGGTCCCAAGAGTATTGTCAGTATTCCACTTTTCACTAAACGTTAATCCATATTCCTTGAACTTGTATTTAGTTTCCAAGTTACCAAACACCTTTCCGGTGTCTTGATTGGACACACCGCCACAACAGAACTCTACATCAGAGTTAGTCTTAGTCTTTACGTCCAGTTTAAACAGACCAAAGTGATAGCCTTGACCAAATACATCACGGGCACTCTTTCCTAGGTCGTTGTATGTCGGAGGAGCCATGTTCTGCAATGCCATAAAAATATCTGTTTAATGACCAGCTATTGGCTGTGTTCAGCAGAACACAACAGTTTTGCGACCGTTTTATGATTCTCTGCTGAGATAGGATCTTCATTTAAAAGCATAATTCAATTAGCGCGAAGAAAATTTCCAACAGTTACAAAATAAACATTCTGCTGAACGCAGCCATTGTCTCTACTGATGAATATATCTGCCCAGAACTGATTGGAAAAGGACAGAGAGCTCGATATAGATAACCATAATAAAACAGCAAGCTAAATTTAATCAGATACATATTCCAGCAACGTACTCTATTCTATATGGCTTACATATACATGTATTATTCCACTCAAGTATTGAAGCAAAATATTTACATGTGGGAGAATTGAAACATGCCACGATGCAGGTCTGCAGAAAGAGGAGGCTTTTTCTAAATCATAAAAAGAAAGTTACTATCAAGAGTCTAACGCAAACAAATCCACGGTGATACGATCACGAGGTATGAGCCGCAATGCACGTACGAATGGAATAGTATTGACCTGTCTCGCAAGTATTACATAAGCTCGACCAACCGATATGCCACAATCGTTCAGGATTCTAACTTAGAAGTCGCTTTAGACATCGCCGCATGTCAAGAAACCAGCCTCTATTCATCCGATAACGCGATTTCTCTCGAAAAATCCAATCCCGCTTGACGTTTGACCGAAAAATGCGTCACACCACGGCAGACGACATTGTAATCGCGATTTCATGCCGGTTTCCCGAAATGAGACCGAGAACCTATTTCTCGACTAGCTTCCCTTTTGCGCTCGATACCCTACTCGGACTGTTTTGCGAATCTCGAGGCTCCCGGCGATGAATTTTTTATTGTGGGGATTAAATTCCCCGGGGCGATGATATACTTACAGTCCTGATAGACACGAGAGACGCAGCTCTTTCACAGATACGTGCAACGTTGCGAGCAGTTGCAGGAGACGAGACAGAGAGAGCAGGAAAGAGCAGGGAGAGAAAGAGTCCGCGACCTACGGATTGTGCGCATGCGTATCGACGTGGTGTGAGAAAAAG